AGGCAATCGCATTAACATTGTGGCTTAAATAAGTGGTTAGTTCAAGTTGGTTTATTTATTCGATTTTTAGCTATGTGGTGGTAGCGGGGAGGTTGCGAAAGCGAGTTTGCTTCCTATAGTCGACAACTTGTCCCGTTTCCAAATAATCGATAAAAATCGATATTGTAATCCTATTTTTTTTTAGCAAATCTCGTAAGTTATAAGAGCTAGAGTTACCAAACTTGACATGTAGCATCGAGAATAGAACATATATATCAAGTATCTTTAATTTTAAAGCTATCGGCAACTCCCCTCTTCCACCACAAAGCTTTAAATCAAGTTAATAAACCAATATATAATAATAATATAAGCTATATATATAATATCAACCAGTAAGAGGTTTTAGTCGGGAGCTCCCGACTAGGGGATACCCTGAACCCTCTTCTTCCAACACCAAAGGCAGCTCGCGATACGCGCTCGTTTGATTTAATAGTAATGAAGAAAAATTAAAATAAAAGAAAAAAATTGTTCCCTTGGCAGGGCTCGAACTCGCAACTAACCTCACCACTTACCGCTGCCTCTACTCAAGGGCCACACCAATAATTGAGCTTTAATGTGAAAAAAAAAACAATTAAAAAAGCAGCACAGAAAACAATATAATCGCAATTGCAATGCTGTTGATAAAATTCAAAGCAAACACGCATGAAATTCTTGGAATTTGCGCAGCAGCTATGCTGCTAACACGTGTGCACATAACTTTTGTGTTTCTTAACCGATTTTAATGAAATTTTCGACAGTACATCTTATTGAATAGAATAAAGAATATTTGTGTATTCTAAAAAATTCAATTGCATATAAATTGTGGCTTAAATTGATGGGTAATACAAGTTGGATAATTAATTTGATTTATAGCTTTGTGGTGGTAGCGGGGAGGTGGCGATAGCTATAAAATGAAAGATACTTAATATATATATACTATTCTAGAAGCTTAATTTCAAGTGTGGTGACTCTAGCTCATATTATTTGCCGAAAAAAACAGGATTTCAATATCGATTTTTATTGATTACTTGGAAACGGGGCAAGTTATCGAATATCGGAAACAAACGGAAAAAATTTGAAGTCTCTAGCTCTTATAGGTTCTGATATCCTTGCGTTCATACATACGGACAGACGGACAGACAGACAGACGGACATGGCTAGATCGATTCGGCTATTGATGCTGATCAAGAATATATATACTTTATGGGGTCGGAGATGCTTCCTTCTGCCTGTTACATACATTTGCACAAATACAATATACCCTGTTTACCCATTTTTAATGGGTTCAGGGTATAAATATAACCCACCAATTTAAGCCACAATTTTAATGCAATTGACTTTTTGAGAATATACAAATATTCTATAGTACAATTAGATCTACGGTTGAATATTTCATCAAGATCGGTTAAGAAACACAGAAGTTATTAAAGAAAACATGTGGTAATATATGTATATGTATATATTGGCAGACCTCGTTTCAGCGGCAGCTAGCGCAAAGCGCTAGAGTTTCTGTATGTACTGAATTATATTAACAGCATGGCAATTGCGGTTTTATTTTTTTCTGTGCTGCCTTTTAATCAGATTTTTTTCATTTAGACTCAATTATTGGTATGGCTGTTGAGTAGAGACGGCGGCAAGTAGTGTGGTCAGTTACGAGTTCGAATCCTATCGAGGGAACTATTTTTTTTTTTTTATTTATTTATTTTTACTACTGCTAACGCAATCGAGCGCGTAGCGCGAACTGCATTTGGCGTTGGTAGAAGAGGGTTCAGGGTATCCCCTAGTCGGGGCTAGAGCCTCTTTCTTGTATTAAATGTATTTGTGTAAATGATATTCAACATGTCCGAGTAGGAAGTTGCAAAGCACACACATATGAATAAGCAGTTGCTTATTCTTCTGCTTAAATTTCAGCAACGTAGACATTGAAGTTTGGTTGTTAAGGCTGTGCGTTCAGCACAAATTAGTCAGAGAAATCATACTCTTTTATCCTTAAAGATCATATGATATTATTTGTACCACCAAATTATACAAGATAGACTGCTCTAGTCGGAAGTCCCAGATTGGGAAATACCCGAAACCTTCTTCTTCAAAAACCAGAAGCCCTTGCAAAAAAAATGACTTTAAACATGTTTAATGGGTAATGGCATAGACTAAAAAGACTGAGTTAAAATATCAGCACATACATGATGCTGAGCAAGTATATGCTCAAGTCACTTGTTGCGATGCAATGGAAATAAATGGTTATAACTTTGTAGGCAGTCCCTATTATAGTAGCGGCTGCCTACTAAACTTCTCGCCACACGGTTGGGAACTTTTAGACAACCTTGGCCCAGCCATATTCTTAAGCTATGCTCCGATAACCTTACAGCTTAATTGATGCTGAGTGTGCCAGCAAGCACCAAGTCAGACCGGAGAAGGTTGTTCAGGCGCAACACTAATATTGACCGCAACCAGTCCTGGTTACAGATGAATCTGTACCAGTACCCCGAGCTTACGACGTAGACGGCATAGCATACCACCTGAACATTAAAATCTACAATGCATTTTCGTTTGCTAATCCTTCCGTTAGGTCCTCTAGCTGCACCCCTTGCAGGGAATTCCGCCTTTGGTCCTCGGGAGTTGCACCTTTGGTTGCTGAAAAAAGTTACCGGCGCTAAGCTTGGCAAAATTCTCGCAAGCCAGGAGTCACAACTGCCCTTAATAGAGAAGCTAGGCACGACAAGCAACTCTTGTTTAGTCTCCGCAAACAGTCTCTGGAGTTCCTCGAAGACGTTGGGCCAGGCGACCGCCAGTATTACCAGTTATAGCTAATAAAAGTCATCAAAAGGGCTACGAAAAGGAATGACGTTCTAAAAGATGCCACCGATTCTTCGGCAGATGCTCCCAACTCGAGATAAAGGACACTATGAAATAACTGGACGTCCCATGCACAATTTATATTCCATATTCTTGCAGTAGAGATGGATGAGCTAATAAGCGGGTTTGAGAAGCTTAAATCATCCAAATCGCCTGGGTACCCTCTATATGAAGCCAAGCCATTAAAGCCATGCCTCTTAATGTGATTTAATTACGCGCCAGCTTTTTGTTATCTAATAGCCTCTGTCCACTGACCACATCTCTTACACATTTTTGAAAATGCCACAATTTTGGGAAAATGTGTAAAATGCGGCCTGTACGTTTTCCCATAAGAAAACACATTTTACACATTTTTCAAAAATTTCACATTTCTAAATCAAAGCAACTCGATCAGCTGTTTATTTAAAGAAGCGGTACTTTTCCCACTCACATGTTACCGACAACCGATGGATCACCAATATGTGAAATTTGAAAATATGACATTTCTTAAGCATAGTGGACAAAGGCTATAATAAGTCACTTTCCCACTATATGGAAATGCGCCGAAAACATCCTCATCCGCAAATCTGGCCTGCAGTTTTATTGGCCTTGTATCACCCGAATATTTTATTGGCTACAGTAATTTAAGCAGAAATATTACGTGGAGTCTGACCCATTACGGAAGATTCCAGTGTGATCCCTGATCACCAGCTTTGCTAGAGAGAATGACATGGCACACCTGAACATCACCAGGTTTGCTAGAGAGAATGAGATGATACACCTGAACAATGCCATAGGTTAGTCGAGAGGATTCTGAAAGCTTTTGAGAAGAATGTTTGGCTGTTATTCTGGACGTAATTCTTCTTCCATATCGCTGTAACCAGAGCGAAATGCTTTAGAAGGCTCCAAAAGCTCGACAGGCTATTAAAACCGCAAATCAAGCTGCAAAGTAGCCCAAACCAAGGCAGCACGCAAGGCTGCCGGCCTACCATGGTACGTAACAACCGACGCCACCGAACGCGATCTCTGCCTAACAAATTTCGGAGATCAGATAAACTTCTACAGCACAGTATTACGCTATATCCTCCTTCCCCTTCATTTTAAATATCCCATCATTATAATATCCCACAATGTTAATATCATATAAGCTAGATACTTGTTACTATAATTTCTTCTTACAGTCATTCGCTTGGTAGGGACTAGAAGGTACCGATCGAAAATGTTGGGGAGCTTTAGCTGGTTTATGTAGAAGAAGGTTCAGGATACCCTCTAGTCGGGCTCTTCCGATTACAGCACTCTTAATGGCTTAGTTTTATACCCTTGCAGAGGGTATTATAATGTTGTCTTGAAATGTGCAACGCATAGAAAAAGACATCTCCGACCCCATAAAGTATAATATATATATATATTTTCTTGATCAGTATAAACAGCCAAGTTGATATAGCCCTGTCCATCTGTCCGTCTGTACGTCTGACTGTTCCTATGCGAACTAGTCTCTAAGTTTTAAAGCTATTGTCATGAATCTTTGCATACGTCCCTCTTTCTGTTGCACGCGGTACATATATCGGAACCGGCTGGATCGGACCCATATATTATATAGCTACCATAGGCTGAAAAACTTTTTTGTTTTTCAAGATGTCTTAGTCATACTTGCCATTACCTAGTTTCCCTGTGCTTCCTTGATACGAGCAAAGTATTATGAGCATTATGGAAAGGTTCGGTCTGCAAGGGTATTAAATCTTCGGCATGCCGAAGATTGCCCTTCTTTCTCGTTTAATTTGTCTTTACATTTCGGCAACTGAACCATTGCTATGTATTAAGCAATAATACTAAGCGTCGGTCTTATTAAGTTTCGAATGTACTTCAAAAGCTTTTCTGTAGGCAGTGTTTCGACTGACTTTGTGGCTCGTGTCGACATCAACAAAATGCAGCTAAGGCACGCGCTCGTGCGGTTTTTGGTGAGTGACAAGCTATCCGGATGGCGTGCCGTTCAAGGAGCGAATAGCCACCTGTGTTTATATTGACTTTAGTTCTTAGTACCTTTTAGTCGGGCATAGTATCTTCCAGTCGGCTCTTACGTGTTTATATTTATAAATGCAAACACATTTTTTGTACAGGTTAGTAACTATATTTTGGGTACTTTTATTTTACAGGAAGATCTCACGGCGCCTCGAAGCGTTTCTTTACAGACTTTTTACAAGATCTACCCACACCAGGCACAGGTGGACCTACCTTTGATACGACTATAACTAGCAACATTACCGGTCTTGTGGGAAAAACAGTAAAGTTGACCTGCCGTGTAAAAAATCTTGGAAATCGCACGGTAAGTTTTAAGTTTCTTTTAAACAAATTTGATCCGGTCCCTGTTGCTGCGTTGCTTCCAATTCAAACGTTTGCCGAAGAGTAGGGAACACAATATTATAAGTGAATGTTGATAAATATTATTTGAAATTCTCGGACCCTGAACCCGTTAAAAATGGGAAAAAAGGGCATAATGTTTTTCAAATGTATGTAAAAGACAGAAGGCAGCATCTCCGACCCCACAAAGTATATATATACTTCATCAGCATCCATACACACATACATCATTGAACTTTTAAGCCGTTTCACATATGCTCGGCAGTTGATTTCTTTCCCACATTTTCACATGTTAGGACTGAAACTAAAGCACCGCCTGAAGCTTAGAATCAAGAACGCGTATGATCTCAGATCCTATAAGACCTAGTGACGTGAAATTTTGATTGTAAATCCCCAGAGTGCCCGCACATATAAAATTGTTACAAGTAATCGAAAACTTGTAATGTTTCTATGAAATTGGTTTCAAAATACTGCCTTTGAGCATACTTCGGAGCTTTTAAGGGCAAGAGACCCAAAATTTGGTAGGCAGGCTTTATATAGTTGTGTGTGTCAGCCTTTAAGCCTGTTGTGGAGAGAACCAAAATTGAGAGCTATTTTTGTGTGAGATGTGTAACGCATCGATATAGCCATGTCCGTCTGTCCGTCTGTCCGGCTGTCCGTCTGTCTGTTTCTATGCGAACTAGTCTCTCAGTTTTAAAGCTATCTTTATGAAACTTTGCAGAAGTGCCTCTTTCTGTTGCACGCAGTACATATGTCAAAAGCAGCTGGATCGGACCACTATATCATATAGCTGCTGTAGGAAAGATCGGTCGAATCATAGGTTCTTGTATGAATAATATTTTTGTTTATCAGAATATCTTGATCAAACTCGGCATTTATTAGCTTTCCTAACTTCTCATATATTTGCAAAATCCTATCAAGATCGTACCACTATATCATATAGCAGAAATAGGAACGATCGGGCGAAAATTATGTTTTTGTATGGAACATTTTTTTGTTTTTCAAGATATCTTCACCAAACTCGGCATTTATAAGGTTTACTCTGCTCCTTCCATTTATGCAAAATCTTATTGACATCGGACTACTATATCATATAACTGCTATAGGAACGATCGGTCGAAAATTAGTTGTGTATGGAAAACTTTTTTGTTTTGCAGGATATCTTAACCATACTCGGCATTAAATATTCTCCCTGTGCTTCTTAGATGCGGGCAAACCACCATGAGTATTATCAAAAGGTTGGGCCTGCAAGGGTATTAAATCTTCGGTGTGCCGAAGATAGACCTTCTTTCTCGTTATTCTCTGAACCCATTAAAAATGGGTAAAATTTGTATAGTTTATATGTGCAAATGTAGGTAACAGGCAGAAGGAAGCAGCTCCGACCCCATAAAGTATATATATTCTTCATCAGCATCAATAGCCAAGTCGATCTTGCCATGTCCGTCTGTCTGTCAGTCCGTCTGTCCGTATGTATGAACACAAGGATCTCAGAACCTGTAAGAGCTAAAGACTTGAAATTTAAAATGTGGGTCCTCCAAATGCCCGCGCAGTACGAGTTTTTTTCCGATAATCGGTAACGTACCCCGTTTTCAAGAATTCGATAAAGATCGGTATTCAAATTTTGCAAGTCTCGTAAGTTATAAGAGTTGAATAGTCGGGAGTTCCCGCCTAGGAGATCCCCTGAACCCTCTTTTACCAACACAAAATGCAGCTCGCACTACGCCGAGAGTTCTCGACTAGGGGATACCCTGAACCATCCAACACAGCGCGCGCTACGAGCTTAGTTGCTTTAGCAGTAACATATAAAAAAAATATTTCCGCCAATAGGACTCGAACCCGTACCGACCGCATTACTTTCCACCGCGTCTACTCGAAAGCCATACCAAAAATTCATTTTCGCGGAAAAAAACGTATTAAAATAGCACCAAATACACACATCTCAGCATACAATACAATTTCACCTCGCGTTAGTGGGAGTGGAGGACCGCCTGTTAGCAGATAACAAAAGATAAGACCGGTTGCGGAATGAGTCGTTGGAGTTGTACCAGGCGGACGCGTTCTGGTGAATATTAAAATCTTAGCTTTAACTAAGGACAATTGATTTTTACAGCTAGAGTCGACGGAGCCGTCTTCCGTGTAGCGCAATAGCGCTGAGGTTACGACTCGTGTGGGGTATCATATTACGGGCAGCTTCACAAAGGTTGCCCATAAGACGCAGTGTCACCATCATAGGCCAAGTGACCGAACTGGAGTTCGTCGTCCCAGCCTTCCCAGCTGGACTGCGGAGTGTTACTAGTGAACTACTCCCCCCTTTGAAGCATGGGCGTCCTCGGCCGTGACAAATGTTGCCACCAACTCCTGTAGGTCGCGGGCCTCTTGTCTTTTCCTCATGCGCTGCCCTATTGCAACGAAGAATGCCACCGCTGCTGGGCCACTAAAGCTAGAAGAAACTTCGTCCCTAATTTGCTGGATGACATGCAGATTCTACTTATTTAGTCGGTGTAGAAGTTGGAGGCTCAACACTGGATCGTGTTCGGTAATGTTCAGCAGCGACGTGGATGCGACTCCATGGAATTTTCTCACGACTTTATCGCGATTAACGCACTTGGTACCACTTGGCACCATTTACCGACACTGTGTGCTCGAATGTGACGAGGAAGGTGCCCGCAACAGCTACCTATGGGCCATCGTCGACGCTTATCTTAGCCGGGCGATTGTTGATGAGGGACACCCCGTTTCGCCAATCGTAATGGGTTCCAGGTGGCTAGGCTGAGATTGGCAGTGGGCGACGCTTCCTGCATGTAAGCCACGAGCGCAGGTGTCGCGTGTCGCAACTTCGCAAAACGTCGAATAGGTTGTAGAGACGCAATTTGTGACAGCTAGGCAATTTGACTGGCTAGCTGTCTGAGATTTGCAAGCCTGTGTGAATATGTTCTACGGAAAATATTTGGAAATGCTTACATATGAACTTAATTCTAGGGTATTCAATAATGCAGTGGATGATGCTATCAGACTGTAAAATCTTAATTTAAGATACTTTCTATGTAAGCTAGACTTAAAATCAGCATGATCTAAGATGGTTGAATTTATTATCTTTACCTTAGCAAGAGTTATTGTGAGCATGAGGTTCTAAACTTCGGTAATTAAGATTCTGTTCTAGCCAAAAGTGTTTCGTAAAGATGACCGGTTTCAATCTGATCCTCCTTTTTTGCTTTAAGGATTTGGTTTATGGTGTTAGTCACGCGGTTTATCTCATCCTGTGTTCTGGTGTTGATCACAACCTGCCTGTTTTTTTTGACACTATGAGTTGTGACTCGGACCAGCTAATTTTTCGAAAGTGGAAGCATCAGGAGTGCCAGTCATGATTCTTAAAGCTGCGTCACAAAAGTCTAAGCTTCTCGCTATCCTGTGGTTTGCTAATGCTGACAACAAGCATATCCATGTGTTTAATATCTATATCTAGGAGCTTACACATATGAGACTGTGGAAATAAGTCTCATCCGCTATACGCATGAAATTTGTGATATTAGCTGAGTGCCTTACGAAATCATGTTGGCTCCAAACTAATACTTAGCCGTCTACTATTGGAATGTAATCGGAGTGTGAATAGACGGTAATCCGAGCATCAGTCACTGCGAGAAATAGAAGTACTACGGGTATAGGCCTGGAATGTTAGAAGAGAAAGGATAAGTTCTTAAATTATTATAAAACCTAAACTGACGTTAACTTTTTGTCGCGACAAGGAATCAGCGACAAAATTTAACTTGCCGGGCTTCTAGAAAATCTTAGAACTCATCAATACGATGGGTTGTTGGTCAGTGTAAATGTTTATATCTTTTAAGGCCCAAACTATAGATAACAGTTCTCTCTCATTCGTTGCGTATTTTATTTCGATCTCCTTTAGTGTTGTAGATATCATAGTAATAGGGTGTTTATTCTGAGAAAGAACTGCTCATATCCCATAATTTGACGCGTCGGTCGTTAAATCGATCGGTTTCTTATAGTCTGCGTACGTGAGCATGGCGTTTTCAGAGGCCATGATCACATTGTCAACATCGACATAGCACGTGTTGCCGATTAGTTCGCGCAGAACGTCATCAATAGCTCTCTGATATATGATACCTGCGTTTTTGAGTACAAATGGAAGTCGACAGAACTCATACATCCCCTGTTAACAGAAAATTAGGTCTTCTCTCGATCGCATTTTGCAAGCAGAATTTGATGCTATCTGGACTTTAGATCCAGTGTTGTGAAAAATCTGGCTTTCCCTAGATTTGTTACAGAATTTGATGCTATCCGGACTTTAGATCCAGTGTTGTGAAAAATCTGGCTTTTCCTTGATATTTTACAACCATTAAAATATCTGGCATCTGGTACTTGTCTGGAATAGTCTCTTCGTTTAGCTTACGAAAGTCTATAACCATCCGCTTTTTTTTTTATTACTGTTCCCTTTTTGTCGACCACCCATATTGGATTATTACATGAGTCTTTTTGATAATACCGTTCGGTAGAAAGCCTTCTATTTCACGAGTCACGAAGTCGGCTATTCCCATTAGGAAGGGATATAGTTTTGAATATATGGGCGAGTTATCCGTTGTTCGGATTGTGCCTACTGCAGATGTGTTATATGGCAGTGTCTCGTTAGAGTCTGCGAAAGATGGAATCTACAGGGACTACGTTTTTTAAGCCTAGGAAGAACTTGATACAATTTTTGGACGCGCCCGGGGCGATTAAGAATTTCATCGTTACGCCCACAACATTTCGATTTATAAGCCGTCTCCTCTAGGTTTCTGGCATAGTTCTCTGCGAAGTGTTTTTCGTCATGGTTTTCTTCGAGTTTCTGAGTTTATGCCAGGGCGAACATTGAAGTATTCTAAAAGTGGAAGGCTTCCCTGTCTGAGCGTACTAAGCTCTTGTTCTACGACGTGGAGCAGAGGTTTGTCGCTATATGCGAAATCGAGCCTT